ACCCCCCACCTCGCCAGGTCCTGAACGGCGACCTGAGCTACGCCCGGGGGTACGCGGTGCAGTGGGAGACCTTCTTCGACCAGCTGGCCCCCATGCTGCGCGCGCTGCCCCTCATGACGGTGATCGGCAACCATGAGCGGGACTGGCCAGGGTCGGGCGACCGCTTTGGCATGGCCTACGACTCCGGGGGCGAGTGCGGCGTGCCCTACGCCGCGCGCACAGGGATGCCGACGGCAGGGCCGGACCGCCCCTGGTACTCGTTCGACCACGGCCCGATCCATTTCCTGCAGTACAGCACAGGTTTGGGGGCGGTGCTGTGGCTGGGAGGATGGGTACAAGGGGGGGGTACCTTGGATGACCTCCATCACTCTGTCTTGCTGCGTGGCCGCCGGGCAGGCACGGATAGCGCATGCTTTTGCTGGATGAGGTGGCACACAGTGTTCCCTCCCACCCAAAGGCTGATGTGTGAACCACAGCGAGCACCAGGGAGCCCTCGCTTCACATACGCCTGTGCCTGATCAAAATCCGCAGAGCATGCGTTTGAGGAGGGCTCGCCACAGCATGCTTTCATCGCTGATGACCTGGCGGCCGTGGACCGATGTCAGACCCCCTGGGTCATCCTCGGGGGCCATCGCCCGGTGTGTGTGTGGGAGGGGAGTTTGATTCCATCTGAGGGATAGGGGGAATCGCGAGCGGCACCTGGCCATGTGCCAGCCAGCGTGGGGCTGGCCACTGCTCCGCAGCCGCCCCGCGCCTACTTGCATCCCCGTCGCCCAGCAGCACGCTCAGCGTCAAACCCCCTTCCCTCATCAATCACCCGGCCGTCGCAGATGTACATCGACAGCACTTTTGACGCCGTGCGGCCAGACGGCGACCAGTACCTGGCGGCGGAGCTGCGCCGCGCGCTGGAGCCACTCCTCCTCCGGCACGGCGTGGATGCGACGTGGCACGGCCATCACCACAGCTACCAGCGCACCTGCCCCCTGGCGGGCGGGCGGTGCTTGGCGTCGGGGGAGGATGGCGTGGCCGCCGGCCCTGTGCACATTGTGCTAGGTGAGTGGCTTGGTCGGAGCGAGTTTGGAGGGTCTTGGCCGAGAGGCGCATGCTAGGCGGGCCTGGGGTACCGCATGCTTGCATGGCGAGCCCGGTGACAGCTCTCAAGCTCCCACTCGAGCCTGCAGTAATCCTCCTCCCTCTTACGCCCTGCTCTCTGCAATTTGCAGGGCATTCCGGCGCGTCGCTCACCCCCAACACGGAGCCGCAGCGGCCGCGGGAGTTTGTCAGCGTGCAGCTGCAGCATGGGTATGTGCGCGTCACTGCGAATGCCACCCGGCTGGAGCATGTCGTCGTTTCTTCTCGGGACGGCAGCGTCATGGATCGATGGGTGCTGGAGAAGCCTGCAGGATGGTGCGGCAGCCGCGGCGTCCTGCGGCAGGGAGAGGAGCGCGTGGCGGCGGCATGGCCGTCCCTGGAATTCAAATCGCAGCACAGACTGCGGGGTTGCGACACCTTTTGATCTTGCTCAATGTACCATGGACAGCAGAATGAATGCTTTTGAGTATGTATACGAATCTTTTGACCATGACAAGACAGAAGTAGACTCTGAGGGGATGCAAGTTGCACCTTGGGCCCCCAAGCCCACCCCATCCCTTGAAGCTCCCTCCTGGACCCAGCACCCTGGCGTGATGGGGCCCGTCAGTTGACACCAGTTATCAATTTACTGTGCCCCAAGTGCACCCGTGGCCTGCCAGCGTGTCCATAACAGCGGCTCGACCTCCCCACTTCAGTGTGCTGAGTCAGCCAGCAAAACCCTGAGTGGATGGACCCGCCGGCATAGCCCATGACCGGCATGTCGTGCCCAGCAAAACACTACAGAGGGTAAGGGTTTAATATTAGACCGTTTTCACCCATGCCATCCCGCACAGGCACCAGAAAAGGGTGGGTCCAATCTCATCGCCGCAACCCCTTAAACCCTCATGCTTGGACTCCTGTCCTCGGGATATGCACTTGCCAAGCTATTTACCCGAGATCCATGTTTCGGGGCCGCCATACTCCTCTGTGTGGAGCTCTTTGAGTTAGTGCAGCTCGTTTATACGATCAGTGGACACCAAGGGCGACTCACGGGTTCGACCTGATCGCCAGCTCGCGGCATCCCCGGCTGGCACGCCGTCGCTGTCCCTTGGGAACTCCAGCGACGCCGGAAGATCGCGACAGTGTCTTGCTTGCACTGAGATCCCTGCTGTGGGCCCTGATCAGTTTCGCTGACACACTGGGATCGGCGTAGGAGGACGGACTAGAGGCTGTCCACCCAGCTCCTGAACAGGTAATTTGCGTGATCAGTTGCTGTCGAGCGCTACCATGCCGCTGTTCTGCTTTCCTATGCTTCCGGGGAGGATGGAGGGGCCTGCACGATACGGTCGCGGCCTCACCGATGCGCGACGCGGCCGGTTGGGTGGGGCAGCTGACGGCGACGGGGGCTCGAGGGCTCGACATGACCCCAGGCCTACCGGCTCGCGCACAGCCCGGCATTTCCTGATGAGAACCTTTCAAGCTACCAGGAGGGCTGCAGTCGCGACGCTGCTGCTCGGCCGGTCCCTTGAACGGGGCGTCGACCGCACGCCGGTGCAGCGGCAGCATTTTCTGGGGCCAGTCCCTCTCTTCCGCCACCGATCACCCTCACTCCATGGGGAGAGTGTCGCACCCACCTGCTCTCCTACCCTCCTCAATGACTAGGTGGAGATAGACTCCTGTTCTTTGTTCCTTGGAGATACCAGTCGTAGCTCGCGCTTGCTGCTTGAATTTGAAGGGAGCCTCACCAGCCTTCATCAGCAAGCATGACGGAGCAGGGTGAGAGTGGCCCCCCCTCCACCACTGTCTCCTCCACCACACCCGCCCTGGCCACCTCCACAGCGTCTCAGCCGGTGGTTGTGCCGTCGCCTGCCCAGAATTTCCCCCTGGCGGCCTCCCCATTTCAAATCCGGGGCGGGCCGGAGGCTGCCACCAGTGGCACGGCGAGCCCCGCCGGCCAGCACCAGCCGCGCAGTGGCCAGGGCTCTGCTGGGATGCTCATCGCCCCGTACCCGGGCCTCATGCTGGCAGGTGGGGAGCTGTATGAGGCTGGCGTGCACTTCTTCTTGGGTTTGAGGGGATGATGTGGACGGTGCTGGTGTCCCCCTGCTGCAATGAGCAAGCGCGCTGGCCTCATACCGTATGCCTATGTTAGCAGGGCTGGGTGCTGCGGGCCAGCCCGGCTGTCAGTCAAGGCCAGTTGCCCGTGCTCCCACCAGCCTGGAGATGCTGGGCTGGCCCTTCCCGGCCCGTTGCACTCACCCTGGCCCTCCCCCGCCTCCCCGCTCCCAGGCTCCCTCGGCAACAACTTCCCCGGCGGGGCATCCCCCACGGGCTCCACGCCCACCTCCCTCCCGCCCCACCCGCTGTTCTTCCACCCCGCCTCGCGTCTGGCGGCGGCCGCGGCGGCCGGGGGCGCGGGCAGCGCGGCCCTGCAGCAGCATGCGGCGCTGTTGGCCAGCCTGCCCATGCCCTCCAGCTCTGCCCCCGGCCCCGGCGGCGGCGGCGGCGGCGGCATGACGCACGTCGAGTATCTCAGCCTGTACACCAAGGCGGCCGCCGCGGCGGCCGCCGCCGCCGCGACAGCAACCGGCGGCGCGCAGCGCGGCAGCAACGGCGACGCGGCCGCCGCGTGGCGCCACGCGCTGGGCCAGGGGAGTTCGTCCCCGGGCGCGGCCACGGCGGGGCCGGGCGGCGCGGGGGCGGCGCCCTCGGAGCCGGTTGGATCCCAGCCCCACCCGGGCGGCCCCCCCCACCTGGGGACCCCCCCGCACCCGCCCCCCAACCCGCACCACCCGCCCCAGGCCCCCGGCTCCCTCCCGGACCGCGGCCTGCGCGTGACGGCCGGCGGCGTGGCCAAGCGCAGCGCGCACGGCGGCTCGGCGTCCGGCGGCGCGGCGCGTGGCACGCCGCCCACCTCCGCGCGCGCGGTGGGCGCGCCCGGCGCCAAGTTCCGCGGCGTGCGCCAGCGGCCCTGGGGCAAGTTTGCGGCCGAGATCCGCGACCCCACGCGCGGCTCGCGCCTCTGGCTGGGCACCTTCGACACGGCGGAGGAGGCGGCGCTGGCGTACGACGCGGCGGCGCGCCGCATCCGCGGCGGCGCCGCCGTCTGCAACTTTGACGACTTGGAGACGGCCGAGCTGGTGCGGCTGTACGGCGCGCCGGCGCTGCCGGAGGACGCCGACCCGGGCGCCTCGCTGGCCTCTGCGGCCTCTGCGGCCACGCGCTTCGCGCCGGGCACCTCCGCCCCCGCTGCGCTCTACGGCCCGGGCGTCGCCCGCGACGCCCGGGGCCTGCTTGCCGTGCTGGGCGGCGTAGCGCGCGGCGAGGCGGGGGGCCCTCCCAACCCGCGCCGGCCGCACGCGCCGGGCGAGTCCAGCGACAGCCTGGAACACAGCCCGGACGAGGGCGGCGAGGAGGAGGAGATGGTGCTGGTGAGGAGAAGGGGGCGGGGTCCCAGGGGAGCGGGGTGCCGATCAGGGTCGAGCTGACGGCGCCGTAGGAGGAGGGGGGACCGTGTGGCTGATCTGGAGCACAGGGCGGCGCAGGGACCGCTCCATGCCAAATGAGAGGCTGGCCATGGGGCCCCAAGGGCCCGCGCCAGTCTACGCAACTCAACCGCGCCAACATTCATGCCCCCTACCCCTTCCCCCTTCCCCTCAACCAACAGGGCGCCATGGACATGGACGACGAGGAGGAAATCGCGGCCATCCTGCTGCGCCTCCAGGACACCCAGCTCCAGTCGGCGCCGTCGGCGGACGTGTCGGCCGCCGGCGCGGCGGACAAGGACAGCGCCGTGGCCGGCAGGCGATACGGCACCCGTACCGCCGCGGGCCTCAAGGTCGGCCGCCGGTACACCGACCTGCTGGGGGAGTGACGTGCGGGGCGCGGCAGAGCCCCCCGAAAGTCCTCAGCCCTGTGAGACAGGCCCGGCGACGCACTGGGCCCCCACAGGCTGCCCAAGAGGGAGCCTATCCTCAAGCCCGAGTGCCAGACCCCCAGGCCGCCTGGCACTTCTGCCGGCCCGCGCGAATGCACCAGACAGACGGAACCGTACGACAGTTGACAGTCCACAGCGCCCCATGCAGGATAACCCCTGCTCCACCAGCCCTCGAGGCTGGGGTTGGACCCCTGTTTCATGTAGTGCCCTGTGCGGGGAACCACGCCCACCCCGGCGTGAACCCACTCCCCCCCGTTGTCCGACTTTTATGTATACCCCGGGGGGCTCATCACCTTTGGGCCGCTCAGGTCTGCGCCCCGACCTTGTACCATCCAGGAGCTCCCTCGACCCCCACTTCGTCCAATCGTGCGGGTGTCCCTCTTAAGGGCCACCCCCAGGCTCTTTTCCTGGCGCTCCCATGCCATAGAACCTCCCACAGCAGCCACCGAGCAGCAGTATTCAGCCGGGCACCCCTCCCCTCAGGCGAGCACGCCCGGCACATGCCAAGTTCCCCTGCTGTGTATCTCCTCAAGCACTTCTCCCTCCTGGATTCTTATTTTTGGTGCGCTCCCCCTGTTGTAAGCATACCCTCTGCAAGTAGTTGTCCAGCCCAGGGGGGGGGTGGGTTAAGGTTCATGATGCCTGTGCCTCTCAATCTCTGTGTATGTGCCGCCTTCACGGCAGCCTCCTTCTGCCCAAGCCTTCAGACCGTGGGGAGCTTGAGGGCGGAGAGGAAGAGCGCCTCCACCCCCGCGCCGCGGCACAGGGATGCCAGCTCCCCCATACCCTCCCCAGCGACCTCGCGGAGGGGCAAGGGCAAGCGGCGCGTAAGGCCACCCGCCTCCTCCCCCCGCACGGCCATGGCGCTCCAGCGCAGCGCGCGCAGCGTGGCCGTGTATCCCTCCAGCGCTGCAAGGGATCCCTCCGCAACGATGACGCCGGGAAAGCCTGGCTTGCTGAAGCCTCCGATCTGGGGGGGCGGGGGGTGATGGGGAGAGATTGTGAGTGAGGCAACAGGGAGCAGGATGAGCTTGGGTGGTGGTCAGTGTTGCGGCGGCACTGCCAAGGGACGGGGCCCATTGGGCTTTCACCAACTCGCCAAACCCCAAGGAGAGACTGATGCTCATGCTTCGGGATCCACTCGTCACCGGAAGCCAAACACGCAGGGGGTACACCTCAAGATTTTTGGCTTCCTGCACGATAACTTTCCGCTTGGTCAGGCTTTTGATATGGTGAAACCAGAAGAGCCGACAGCACATGGGATCCGGAGATTCCGGCGCCTTCACACTCCTCGCATCAGCTTCAACCGGATTCTCATCCTTCTGTTGTTCAGTGGAGGACTGCAGATCTTGGGCAGCGGCGACCAGGGCAGCCACACAAGCCAAAAGACACGGAAGGCCTTGTGAAGCCTCTGCCGTGGTCTTCACCACTGCCTGCAGCTCGGCAGTGACATCCCTACATGTCGGTTTGTGGGACAGAAGATTTGCTTTCATGTCGATGGGTTGTGCAGATGGATACAAGCAGTATGGGGTGCATGTCTGAGGCATGCACTGTGTATTACATACAGTCGGGCATGGGCCCCTCTCGTTTTCTGACCTGGGGGCTGCACTGTGCACTGTGAGGGAGGGCCCCTCTCTGGGGTATGCAATGGGCAGGGAGATGTTCAGACTGATAGGTTCTCCTGATGCAAGGACATCAGGGATGTGGAGGGTGGCCCCCAGCTCCCCCGCCAATCCCGTTTTTGACTGGAGGACGAGGGCCTGCTCCTCAGCGGGGGTGAGGACCAAGGCACCAGCCTCCGGATAACAAGCCTGCAAAGCGAGGAGATCCTCTGCCGCCTCGCTACAAGAGTTCATTCAAGCCATTAGTTATGGTCTGAACTCCGATCGCAAGCGTGGACTCCTTGCTCGACCCATCTGATTGTGGTGGTTCCGGCACACCGTGCTCCGCGTGACAAGGCTCTGCTCCGCTGAGTGAATGGGCTTCCGGACGCGGTACCAGTAGGGTTATCAAGGCAAATGCTGCCGCGAGCTCGACCCCAATCGTTTCGATAACAAGATCAGTGGAGGAAGGGCCTGTCAGCTGGCTGGTTCCTGGGCCACTTTCCCACGGTCACCTTTCGCACTCCTGCCGACCGAAACCCCATTCCATCAAGATGGCTCTGCAGGCATGCCGAGCGTTGTCCGGCAAGTCCTCCCGTTTCACCCCTGCATTCTCTGCCCGATGCATGAGCCAGGTGGCCACCAAACCCGACAGCATTGGGGAGCTGCCGCCCTTCGACTACAAGCCTGCGCCCTATGTCGGTCCCAGCAAGGAGGAGGTCCTCGCCCTGCGCAAGGAGCACCTTAGCCCTGGTACGCGGCGATCCATGGGAGATCATGACATTTTTTAGATTAACATTGCTTGCAGCTGGGAATTGGACTTTGAGACTTCTGAGGGTTGCGGGTCACGTTTTCCCTTGACCTACCCCCCAACGCCCTCACTCCACAGCCATGCTGTACCACTTCAAGAACCCAGGTGTGACTGGACGATGTCTTGTGATCAGTTCCTGTTGTACGATATTGGATTGGGCGGCTCGCAGGACCCTGTCTTTGGCGTCCCAGTCTGCCGCGAATCTCACCATGAGCCACTCCCAACTCCGCAGTCATGATCACCCACGGCAAGATGCAGTACCTCTTTGACGAGCGGGGCCGCCGCTACCTCGATGTATGTGTCCGAGGTGTTTGGTAGTGGCTGCTACTGTCGCCACACTGTGGTACTTACCGCCACTATCACATTCCGCAACTGCCTCTTCTGTTTCCAGATACCCCTTACAAGCACATCCCCCATGCTTACCACGCCACCACCAGGCCTTTGCCGGCATCGTCACTGTCTCGGTGGGACACTGCCACCCCGAGGTTAACAAGGCGGTGATCGAGCAGACGGAGCGCCTGCAGCACACCACCGTGATCTACCTGAACAACCAGATCGCCGAGTATGCCAAGGAACTGACCGACCGCATGCCAGGCAACCTGAAGGCGCGCAGGGGAGGAAAGGGAGGGAGGGACCTGGGACGGTTTCTGGTGTAGAAGAGGTGGTCAGGGCAGGGAGCACTGTGGCTCCCATGCACATTCAGAGTGCCTGGCCTTGCCTCTGCCTTGCCCAGCCCAGCCCCTGGGTGTGTGACAGCACCCACCACCCTCACCCCCACCTCCCTCTCATTCTCAAACCACCCCGCCGCTCAGGTGGCCTACTTTGTGAACTCGGGGTCAGAGGCAAATGACATGGCCATCATGATGGCCCGGCTGTACACCGGGCAGTACGACATGATCGCGCTGCGCAATGGGTACCACGGCTTGACGGGAGCCACCATGGGACTCATGGGGCTTCACACCTGGAAGGCCAACATCCCGCACGTGAGGCCTGGGGGACGGGTGGGTGGGCGCCCTCAGAGTGGCTTCGCGTGAGGTGCCCAGGACCTGCAGGGATGAGGGGAGCATGCCCTGCAAGTTTTGGGAAGCTTGTGGCTGTGTCGACCCATCCCGTCGGTGCGGCTGGGCATCACCCCATCCTGCCTCGGCGAGGTTCTCGGCTGATCGCCAGAGCGGCATGCCTGACACAATGTCCCCTCCACCTGCAGGGATTCGGCGTGCACCACGCACTCAACCCCGACCCCTACCGTGGCGTTTTTGGCAATGACGGCCCCGCCTACGCCAGGGGTAGGCTGGCAATGGCAGGGCTGGCAGGGGCGGGGATGAGGGATTGAACCTGTATGCTGCTTGCAAGTATGTGACCGGGGTCCAGCATACTCCGAAGCCAAGCCTTGGTCCCTTCTTTTCCCCTCGTACAGATGTGACGGACATTATCCAGAGCTCGACCCCGGGTCGCGTGGCCGGGTTCATCTCCGAGACCATCCAGGGGGTTGGTGGCGCTGTGCCGCTGGCTGACGGGTACCTCCCCGAGGTCTACAAGGTGAGTGGGGTTATGTGAGGGTCCTCAAACTCAGAACCATGGAGTGGTCAGATTTTTAGCAGGGAACGGAGGCTGCCGCTGCGATGTGGCGTCTCATTGGGGCTATGAAATCGGTGCTGAGCCAGCATCCTCGGCCGTTGCAGCTCCACGAGGCTGCCCACCGCGTCCCGTTTCCATCTCACGGCCACACTCTCAAATTCTAAGCCATGCCCATCTTCCCATCCTATCATCCCCAGACCGTGCGCGAGGCCGGCGGCATCTGCATCGCCGATGAAGTCCAGACCGGCTTTGGGCGAACCGGCTCCAACTACTGGGTGAGGGCACACTCAGGGGGTGGGTCCCTCATATACTTGGGCCTAATCCATGGCTTTTGTTCCCCCTGGCTGTTCTCAATGCCTGGATCTAGCGTTGATGGCAGGGCCGCATGTCACCTGCCTTCATCTGGATTGCTGCATGGCTCTGCAGACAGTTGCCCCTCCCAGCCCCCATGGAAATTAGCAGTTTGAGCTCAGCAGCCCAAGTCCTGGCCAAGCAGCCCCTCACCCGCTGTCCCGCGCCGTCCATCCACCCTGCAGGGTTTCCAGAACGCTGGGGTGACCCCCGACATCGTGACTATGGCCAAGGGCATCGGCAACGGGCTGCCGCTGGGCGCGGTAGTCACGACTCCGGAGATCGCCGCCACCCTGGCCCAGCGCCTGCACTTCAACACATACGGCGGCAACCCCGTCTGCTCTGCTGGCGGCCGCGCGGTGAGTGCCCGGGCCGGCGTGGCAGGGTTTGGTAGTGGAGGAGCCCTGGAGCCGATCTCACCCTCTCACTATTCACATTGCTCAATCTTTCTTGACTTTCACCAGGTGCTGCGTGTAATCGACCAGGAGGGCATCCAGGCCAAGGCCGCCGACGTGGGAGGCCACCTGCTGAAGGGCCTGCGTGGCCTGGCCGCCAAGCATGACGTGATCGGCGACGTGAGGGGCCTGGGCCTGATGACCGGCATGGAGCTGGTCAAGGACCGCGCCACCAAGGTAATCATTGGAAATGGAAGTTGGAGGTAGCGTGTGTGGCTTGGTGGGACCGAGGCAGCTTGGGCCCCAGCAGGATCCTGGTCCTGAGGCTTCAGATTTCCCTGGACGCCTGATGTGCATGGTGTGTTGGGCTGCCGGCCGCACCAGCCCACGATCACCTCTCCGACACCCTTGCGCCCCGCCTGATTGTCATGAGGTTCCCTTGAAATACCCTACCCTCCCGGTGCTGACGACTCTGTCTCCCATCACACACACTACCTCCTTCCGACACTGGTACAGGAGCCCGCCAAGGAGGAGACTGCCTACGTATTTGAGCGCTGCAAGGACCTGGGCGTGCTGCTTGGAAAGGGTGGCCTGCACGGCAACGTCTTCCGTATCAAGCCTCCCATGTGCATCACCAAGCCCGATGTCGACTTTCTGGTGGCCGCCCTGGACCAGGCGCTGTCCGAGCTGTGATCAGGCCTCGGTGGCGCCACAAGGGTCATGCAATCCCCGTGAAACCATTTCCCGCATGCAGGCTGCGCTTCGACAGCTTGGCAACCTCTCTCTGCTGCATGCCGCCTCAGCATGGAGGCCTGCCTGCCTGCTTGCACAATCCTGGTACCATGTTACAGACAAGGAGCCGCAGGTACAAGGGTGTTCAGGGGATGCAAATAGTTGGCATGGATGCTCAGGCCTCCTCTTCATCCCCATCGGACGAGGCTTCGCTCCCGCTCCCCGCACTCTCCTCCTCGGCGTCTTGCAGCCAGCTGAGGAAGGGCTGTGCCTGTATTTTGTAGTAGCAGGGAAAGAGGGGGCATGTTCGATACCCAAGCAGACCTGTCCCCGCCTCGGCCCTCCAGGCAGCTGCACGCCAGGCACCGTCCGCGAGGCGGCTCCACTCCTGCCGACCAAAGCAACTCCCCTCCTCCTCCATTCAATCTACCTTGCGGAGGAAGACCTTCTCGTCCTCCTCGGCCAGGGACTTTTCCGCCGCCCACTGCAGTATGGCCTCCTCCGTCAGGATGTCCTCGTCGTACAGTGCCTTGAGCAGCTGCGGGGAAGCCGGCGAGGCGGGAGATTGGCATCCATACCCTGTCAGGCAGGGTCCTCCTGCTCGGAGTACCGTTTCCTCGGTGATCTGGAGCCCAACACCCCTATTCCCCCTTTCTTCACGGATCAACAAACCCCCTTACCCGTCCAAGGAGGCCCCACCCAACCTCCCCCACAACTTCTCACCTGGGCAAAGATGTGGGCAAACACGGGCCCATGCTCCCCCGTGGCCTCGTAGTCGCCCTCCGCGGAGCAAAACTCCTCCAGCGTGAGCAGGACCTCCACCTGGTCATCCTCCGATCGCAGAAACTTCTGGAGCAGGGCCTTCCAGCGCCGCACCTGCGCGCTGGCGCGCTGCAGCAGCTCCACCAGGCCCTCGCGGCTGCCCGCCTCGGGGGCGGAGTGCGTGTACAGCTCCCGGTACTCTGACCGGCAGCTGGTTGGCGCGGGCAGGCACAGGCCCAGCATCGTGGTCAGCATGTACCTTTGGATGTGGAGAGAGGGCATCGTTGCTTGCGGGGCAGGCGGGTGCTGGAATGACGGTGAGGGCCTTGTACGTTACTCGGGTGTGGGGAACAGAGGCATCGCGTACTCCCTGGTGCACACTGCATGTGCACAGGCAAGGCTGCCCCAGATCCCCAGCCCCATCCAGAGCGATCCTCACCGCGCGCAGTCAGCAAAGGTCCGGTCCTCGGCGATCTTGAGGCCGTTGAGCTCGATGACCACGTTGTCGTGCGCGATGCTTTCCTTGACGCAGCGCAGGAAGGTCTCCCCCACCTCCCGCTTGAACATGGGGCCCACGGCCTGCGCCACCTCGGCGTCGGTGGTGCCGGCCTCCTGTGAGAGGCACGAGTGTGGAAGGGTGGCTGGCGAAGGGGTGCAGTGGGCCGGGAACGCATGCACCAGACTCCACAAGAGTGGGCAAAACCAGGCGCCAAATGCAAGGCGGTTCCTCTCGCGAGGAGCACGTCGTGCCCAGCCAAGGTCCCGGTGACCCCCCCTCCTGTCATTCCTGCAGCTCCCCTCACTCAATCACATCCAGCCAAACACACGCGAGCCTCGGGTCCAAACCCCCCCCCCCCCTCCCCCCCGAGAATATGATCCTGCGCCCCGCCACCCCCACCCCAGGCCTCACCCCCGCAGCACTGTTGACTTCGTCGTCGGAGCTCTCGCCCTCCTCCCCCGCGGCATGGCCCGTGGCGGAGGGGAAGAGGGAGTGCCGGGCGGAGTCCTTGTCGTCTGCCCAGGCGAAGCCAGCGCCCAGACCGCCGACCACATCCTGAGGGGGGCGTTTGGGGGAGTGGGAGAGAGGGTCTGGTGTACTGCCTGGTGCCTTGCGATGGCGGCATACCTCCCGGCAAGCACGAGGCCCCTCAAACTCCCTGTCAGGGCCCTTTTCCCTAGGAAGAAAGCAGGCCCCGCTCAGTCACGCACCGTGTCGAAGCCGACCGCGGTCTCGGGGATGCTGCCGGCGGCCAGCGAGGCGGCCGCGGCCACGAGCGACGGCGGCGGCTGGCCGAAGTCGTCCGCCTCGTCCTCCTCTGCCAGCTCAAAGTCTGCGCGCGGGGGGTGGGT